CGTCTTGCTCCTAGTAGTAAGGCCAGGAGCCCCGTTCGTAGCGTCTTTGCTACTAATAGCGATGGCCTCCAACCTAAGTGCATTCCAAGAATGATGTCATTGACGGTGAAGATCTATCTGGGCTTCGCCGAATGAAGATTCGATCTTTTCTTCACGAGGCAAACGTGTTGGGTCAGGCTTGAAACCGGCACCTGCTTGAACCGCATAAGCTAAGCAGGCTCAGATTCTTCAATCAAACTCACAAGGAACTGCTGGTTGCCCAGCAGTCACTTCTTTGGGGTTCCACAAGAGCCAACTGTTCTACTTCCAGACTGCGGCCTTGTAAAAAGTGTACTAGGGAGATAAGAGCCCATCATATCCCACTATCCAATTCCACATTTTAACCCAACCTGTCCCCACTAGCACTAGAAGCAGGGGTCGCCCAATAGAAAACAACTGCAAAACAAAACTATAGATCTGTAATGACATGTGTCTGTGAATATACCAGGACCTTCCCACTTGTATATATACACATTATACACACATACTCTCACCAAACGACATACAGACATAGTTGCAGACTTGCAGACCCTAGAGAAACTCTCCAAGAAACGCCGGTCATCGACACTCCGACCTGAGGGCTCGATGTGCCCTGAAAAACTGGACCTCGCCGAACGGCCGGTGAACACCGGACATCGGATGGCATCAGCTTGGACCGACCGATGGCCGGCGACGGCCTTAGAACCCCCTCTTCGCCATCGGACATCGGAACCCCTTTGGAGAATTCTTTGTGGGTTTCCTCAGATCCCAAGAGCTCCAGAAACCACCTCTGATCTTAGAGGGTCTGAGTAGAGGCTTGGGTTGTGATGTCGTTTGAAGGAGTGAGGGGTTCAGACTAGGATCAGTCATCTTTTGGTAGGGCCATGCCGTGTCCATCATGAGGCACCATCAGTCACCGTGGCCCAACCTCAACTGCTTCAAGGGTGACCTTGGCGTGGTCTTCCTACACAAAAGAATCGTTTCGGAGCATTTTCTTAAGACTACGCATGTCCTTTGTATTCTACTGTTTTTGTTCATGCAAATCGTATGATGAATCCAGGGGCAGTTGTGAGTCTTAGTCACCGCATTCAGCTTACAGTAGCCCATACCTGTTGCGAAAGACCCAGAACTATCTTGGGCCAGGTTTTACTGTTTTGGGCCCTGGTGGGTTCTAAATGATCAACTTCAAACCGCCAAGCAACGTGACCCACGGCTTTTTTCCGGCCGATACTCTTCGGCACTTAAAACGACCGTTCGGTCGATGCACCGAAAAAAAAAAGAAAGTCTCATCCCTCGGTCTTGTCTCATCCCTTCCTCCGGTGCTCCAGCCAACTGGATGCCGCCGCTGCCATCACGAAGTCGGCAAGTTTGTTGCGCTTCACCACTTCCGAATAAACTCCTTTCCGACGCCCAAAAAATATCTAGTAGGCTGAAGACCATCGCTATCAGGTTGGAGGCCATCACTCTTAGGTTGGAGGCTATCGCTAAAGGGTGGAGACCATCGCTAGTCGGTTGGAGGCCATCGCTAGTAGGGTGGAGGCCATCGCTAGCAGGTTGGAGGCCATCACTCTTAGGTTGGAGGCTATCGCTAAAGGGTGGAGACCATCGCTAGTCGGTTGGAGGCCATCGCTAGTAGGTTGGAGGCCGTCGCTATTAGGGTGCAGGCCATCGCTAGTAGGTTGGAGGCCATCGCTAGTAGGTTGGAGGCCATCGCTAGTAGGGTGGAGGCCATCGCTAGCAGGTTGGAGGCCATCACTCTTAGGTTATCGCTAAAGGGTGGAGACCATCGCTAGTCGGTTGGAGGCCATCGCTAGTAGGTTGGAGGCCATCGCTACTACGTTAGAGGCCATCGCTAGTAGGTTGGAGGCCGTCGCTATTAGGGTGCAGGCCATAGGTTGGAGGCCATCGCTCACTATTAGGGTGGAGGCCATCGCTATTGGGGTGGAGGCCATCGCTATTAGGGTGGAGGCCATCGCTAGCAGGTTGGAGGCAATCGCTAGCAGGTTGGAGGCCATCACTATTAGGGTGGAGGCCATCGC